TCAGAACTCCAACCATGAAGAGAAATGCAGGTTCCATGGTCTGCCATGGAGTGCAAATGCCAGAGCCGAACTTCCTCAGAGGCTCAGAAGGAGCAGTGGACAGCATAATCAGTTACACACAGAGGATATGGCAGTCTATTGGAACCTGCAGAGGATACCTGGCACCACAACAGAGGACAGAACAAATCAATCAACTACCCCAGCCATATGTTGGCAATGAAAATATTGGGCAAATGGAGATTCTGGGGTGGACTATGTCAAGCAGTAGATTCTGCAGAGACCTCATCATGCTTGGTATGGTGCGACTGGCAGCAATTAATAACTTGAACTATCAAAACCACTTGAGCAAGGCCCTCGGAGCATGCCCCACATTAGGGACCTGGAATGAGTGGGAGGCTGAGTCAGGCCTCTCCCTTTATCTCCCCCTTCATATGACAGAGAGAGAGAGAAAGAAAGAGAGAGACAGACAGACAGACACAGAATGCATATTGTAAAAAACTATGAGATACTTTTAAAATTCTGACACCAACATAAATATCTTCTAATTTTATTCTTCTGATAACCTTCTGAAATATCTTTACAGAAAAGGAAGAAACAATCCCTAATATGTTTATTTTCACATAATTTGGGAAGCTTATTTCCTATCCTTCTGTACAAAGCATGAATCAAAGCTTATGGATGTAGTATGCAACCAACAAAGCTTCAAAGTAATATTTGAACGTATTTTTTTAAGCAAAGAGCTTAGATTAATTAATATATACATCTTATGTTAACACAAAAATGTTAGTGCACACTTACTACTTAAAAAAGAATTAATTTATTGGGGCTAACACAATGTCTCAATTGGCTAATCCTCTTTCTGCAAGCACCAGCATCCCATCTGAGCACTGGTTTGTGTCCAGGCTGCTCCACTTCTGATCTAGTTCCTTGCTAATGATCTGAGAATGCAGTAAAAGTTGGCTCAAAGCCTTGAGAGTCTCAACCTGCATGGGAAACCTGCAAGAGGCTCCTGGCTCCTGCCTTCAGATCAGCTCAGCTCTGGCCATTGCAATCATTTGGGGCATGAATGAGCAGATGGACGATCTTTCTGTCTCTCCTTTTCTCTATACATCTGCCTTTCCAGTAAAAATAAATAAATCCTTAAAACAAGAATTAAATCATTTGGCATTTTATGGAATGAAGATATCCTATTGACAACCTTTCTGTCCACAGATATACTTCGTGTAAATGAAAACTGCTCTGCCAGGATCCGTTTTATAAAGGTGTTTTACTGCCTTTCTACTCCACTCCATAGCACCCAAATAAAACCTCTGAACATCATAACATGCAAATGAGTGTTTATACTCTGGCTAAATCTATATCTAAGTCATAATGGATTATAACAAGATAGCAAAATTTGATTAATGTGATAGAAACTGTATTACTCAGCCAAACGTGAACAACTTTCTTTTTGTAAATACCTTAAGAGAGGCTACATGGGCCTGGTGCAATAGCAAAGTGGCTGAATGCTTGCCTTACATCCTCCACAATCCCATTTGGGTGCCAGTTCATATCCCAGCTGCTGTCCTTCCCATCCAGCTCCCTGCTTGTGGCCTGGGAAAGCAGCCAAAAACAGTCCAAAGTGTTGGGACCCTGCACCCATGTGGGAGACCTGGAAGAAGCTCCTGATTCCTGGCTTTGAATCGGTTCAGCTCCAGCCATTGCGGACACTTGGGGAGTGAACCAGTGTATGGAAGATCTTTCTCTGTCTCTCCTTCCTCTCTGTATATCCACCTTTCCAATAAAATATGGAATAAATCTCCAAAAAATTAAAAACAGGCTAAACAACATGATGATCAAACCTCAGCTTCAGTTTCAGGAGCCACAGTACAGTTTAACTCAGAGTTGCAACAGATTCACTAATAAGTTCACTGCTAAGTTACAATTGCTACACATTGCTTTCCTATGGAAAATCTTTACCAATTAGCTAAAACAAAAATTGAACTATTCTAATGAAAATAAACTTACAGCATCTTGGGTATGAGTCAGAAACAAATGACTCAGTGGAACAATGCATAGGAAAAATAACTGAAAAGACCCAAGGGTTTTGTTTCCAAAACTCTCCAGACTGAATGCAGGTTTTAAAAAAATAGGTTCTGAACTCTTGAATTTAAAATGTGCCTAGGTAACTCATATATGTTGATTCTGATTCTTATAATCTAAGATTAAAAAGTGATTACTACAAGAAGATCAATGGAACAATATGGAAAACCTCAGCAGTGAACCTGCGCATATACAGCCAAATAATCTTCAACAAGAGAAGTTTAAAAAAAACAGGAAGAAAGCATTTGTCTCTTCAACAAATGATGCTGGGAAATCTGAATATTCACTTGCATAAGTAACAAACAAGACCCCTGACTTTTCTTCTTACAAAAAAAATAAACTCTAAATGGATCAGGGATCTAATCCCCTGCCCATGCACCATCAAATTGTTAGAGGAAGGCATAGGGAGCATGCCACAAGGAATAGGCATATATAAAACTTCTTAGAAAACACTCCAAACATACAGGCAGTTAAATAAAGAATAAACAGATGGGACTATATTAAATTAATAAACTTCTGAACAGCAAGGGAAATGATCAACAAATGATCAACAAATGAAGAGGCAACCAACAGAATGGGAGAAAATCTTCACATACAACACAACAGGTAGGGCACGAATACCCATGATCAACAAACAGCTTCAGAAACTCAACAATAGTACACAAACAGCCCTGTTAAGAAATGGACAAAGGATATAAACAGATATTTTTCAAAGGATGAAATTCAAAAGATTAACAGACATATGTCAAAAAAAAAAATGTTCAGGTTCCCTAGCTATTAAAAACATTCAAACAGAAACTACACTGAGATTCTATCCAATTCCAGTGAGAAAGGTCTGTACACAGAAATCTACTAACAACACCTGCTGGGGGAAAAAAAAGGTACTTTAATCCACTGTTGGCGAGAAAGTAAGCTAGTACAGTCACTATGGAAAATACTCAGACAACTAAGAACTGATCCACCATATGACCCAGCCATCTCACTCCTGGAAGTATATCCAAAGGAAATGAAATCTGCATTTGAGAGAGTGAACTGCAACCCTTCATTTATAGCAGCACAGTTCACAATAGCCCAGATGCCTTTCAAAGGAGGAATGGAAAAAAACACAGTGGTATATCTACTCCACGGAATACCACTTAGCCACAAAAGATTGTTATTTCCAACAAAAATGAACCCAGTTGAAAACCATTATGCTCAATGAATTAAGCCAGCCCCCAAAGGTCAAATATCATATATTCTCTCTGATATATATGTGAAATGCAAGAGAGACCAGCATGCTGGGAAGTAAAGGAACTATGCAGTGTGCATCTCTACATTCAAATAAAAGTAGGACTCTCAATGAACCTTGTAAATATAACCCTTTGTTACAATACCAGGTTTTATACTTTTTTCTGTACCTAGCATATCATGATACATTTAAAAATCAGGAAGTTAAACTTGTTACTTGTATTAAGGGACTATATCATTGTGATAACACAAGGGAACTGGCAAGGTTGGGTGAATGGGGAGGAGGAAGAGAAGTAGGGATGAGCCTCTACATCCACAAAACTGTACCATAGTGTTGTGGGCTAAGGAGTTGACCAGCACTCTTTAAGCTAAGCACTACAGGGCGTGGGCTTGGGGCTAGAAGCACCTGGCCTGGTTGGACTCAGCTGTATCCAACATGCGCTAATGAGGGTGTGGGTGAAAGAGTAAACAAGAAGTAGGTGAAGGTTCAAGAGAGGCGGCAATAAAGGGAGGCCTTGGAGAGAGACTTGGGAGACTTTCACCACCACTGGTCTCTTGTCGGTGCCTCTTCCCCAGATCCTCGCTGTGGCCACGTTACTGGCTCAGCTGGCCGGAACACCATAGAAAACATTTTTTAAGTGACTGCCAAGCAAAATACAAAACCTTTAAGGAGTTTGATCTAACTTTGTATGTAAGGAAATTGTAAGCCAGATTTTGTAAAGTAATAAAAAAGGAGTCAATGGATACTTGCAGTAGTATCCAGAATCCACCAGGCAAAGGTACCTCTTCCACCTGGCTGTCAAAAATAAGGACAAGTATTTTCAAGTGGTCTGACACTACATCGCAAAAGAGCATAGGTCAATTACAAGTCTCAGAAAAGTAATTTTTCATCTCGTCTATATGATCAAAATAATTTTCTGAGGACTTTTTCTTGAATACCCTCTATCCCAACGTTTAACGTATTTTTTCCTTCAATTGCAAAGAACACGAAATGTTAGTAGTCCCAAACAGGACAGTGTGCACACAAGGTTTTGACAGGACTCACAATGTGAACCAAAGTGCGGAAAGCGGAACAAAGAGAACACTCTTCAAATCCAGGCTGTGAGGCAGGGATTCTGGATGTTTTCCACCACAAGCATGTGAGTCACAACATGTGGTAAGACTCCCACAACAAGGAAGTAGATGCTGTTCCTATGTCCACATCAATGAAATATCCATAGTGTTTCAACAGTGTGTCCCAATGACCCATGGGACAGTAACCAAGATGCACTGAGATAAACTACTAATCCTCAATGAGCAAAAGCTGCATTCAATTTAATGAGTGTGTTTCTTTTAGGCTGCTCATTTCTAGATCAGCTTGGGATTCAGAAGAAATTACTCATATGTACCTATCTATCTACCAATGGCCAATTAGCTTAAAATTAGACTTCAATGGGAAGATAGGACAGCACTAAAAAAATTTTAACATGGAATAGAGTAGAAACAGGATTTCTCTTGGTGATTAATATTTTATACAGTTATCTGCAATCTCTGATTACAGCAGGTGACATGTTCCCCCACTACAAAGTACTCAGCGCACCACAATGATGACATGCATTGAGGCAACAACCAAAACTGTTTTTAAGCTACAAGCAAGTTTCAGTTGGAAGGGTTTGTGTCATCAGTGGAAATGAATTCAGGCTTCTAATCACCTTGATTCTGAAGCAGTGTCCTGTCTAGTACAACAGAAGACAAGGAATGGCATTAGCACACACACACAGAGAAATATGCCCCAAATCCGCATTTCACACAAGAAGGCAATGCTATAGGACAATCAGTAACTCCCTTATGTTCACTTCAGTAATGAACCATAAAGAATATACTGTCATTATCAGTGAACATAAGAAAATTCTTGAAGAAAAATCATATTATAAGTGAATACAAGTAATGGTTATCAAGTATTTTTACTATCACTTTTGACAAGTGTACTTCATGAATAATTTTTAAAGTACAAACATGTAACACATGCCTTTTGATAGGATATATACATAAATGATAGATTACAAAAATAGTTATAGCTTAACTATAAACAATTACATTACATTTTGAAAAATTAATTTGAAGGTAAAACAAAAAATAGACTTTGAATCCTTTTCCTTTAACATTTACTGTGCAAATGAATCTGGTAACCAACAAATCATGACATTAATAAGATCTTTGCTCCTTCTTCATAACCTGTGTAAAAACAGCAACTAAACTTGCCTTTAGTAATTCAAAACGGTGGCGCTAGAGAAAGGCACCCTTTAACACACTTTTTTAAAAAGTAGCATTATTAGCCTCCATCCACCATCCAAGTCCTTACTTGAAATGCATACTTAGATTCATTGTATGAAACTAATAGAACAGTATTACTTAAGTTACAAAAACAATTATAAATGATACAGCTAGGAAGTTCCTTTCTCACTATTCTGATTAGTTTTAGATCCCACGATAATTGTGTATGATGTTCTTTATATTCAGAAACCACTGAGTCAAAATCATGCTCTTAGATATTTGCTCTTGGGGAAATACACACTAAAATATCAGAAGGACATGATGCATGCAGTGTCTAACAAATGTATTAGAATGAAAAAGCCCTAATGAGGATATGTACACTTTGGTATAAAGGGACAAAGAAGGTGATAAAGCCAATATAGAAAAATGTTTTAAAAAATGCATTGATCTGGGTAAAGCAGTAACAGGATTGGTCTCTAGTATTCTTCCTACTTTTGGGTAAATTTGAAATTACTTCAAAATATTAACTTAAAAACATTCTAATATTGCAACTAGTACATGTGTATCTCAATGATTCACTGTTGAAATAAACTGACTCAAAATGTACTTCTGTGTATATATTTATCAGCAACATACACATTATAATTAAAAGTACAAACATAATAGTCAAGACAGTACCTCATTTAAAACCAAAGACCTAGCAATAACATTTATGTCTATTCACAAGGGAATGGATAAATTATGATTTAGCAATACTATGTAGCAATTAAGATGAATAAACCAAAATGAAGCAAATGTACAACAGAATAAATTTAACTGAATACTACCACTGAGAGAAGCCATATAGAAGAATATAAGCTGTATCACTCTATTTATATAAAAGCACAACCCATCCGTGCAATGAGGTGGGCATGGGGCTAGTGACTAGGTGGGAGAATGAGAGGCCTGCAGAGCGGCTGGTAGCATTCCATTTACTGTTTGAGGTAGGTGATGTAGTGGAGTTCACCCTGCACTGATTCCCTAAGCTCTATGCTTACACCTGGTGCACTGCTATCAATTAAATGTTTTAAAGTGTACTTTCAGCCTATTGATTCTACTCTATACCTGCACACCAAAATAAGTACAGACAGCATATACAAATATTCTCTGACGTAACGACTAGGGGCAGACTCAGGGCCCAGTGTGTTAAGTCTCTATCTGCAATGCTGGTGGCCCTATCAGAGCGCGGGTCTGAGTATCATTGCTCTACCTTTTATGAATGTGTCTGGGAAGGCAGTGAATGATGGCCCCTGTACTTGCTTGGCTACCCATATGGAAGACCCGGAAGTAGTTCAGGCTCCTGGCTTCAATCTAGCCCAGCAGTTGCCAGTACAGCCATTTGGAGAATTTCAATCTCTTTTCCTCTCTCACCTCTCTCTTACAAACAACTAAATAAATATTCTCTAAAATAAAGAATGCAAAGAGAATGGCTATTAACAATCCTAAGAAACTTTAGGTTCTCAACATGTTTGAATACATTACTTCAAATAACAAAACTGTAAAAACGTGAAACTTTTCAACATAAGATACTGTGTTCTTCCCTGAGGATTTCCATCATCCTTCTATTGTAATAACATCCAGGAATATGGGAAGCTGTCAGCAAGAACAACATTGACAACCAGGCAGCAACATCAAGAAGATAATGGACTATATTATATTAAAGAACATAAATAACCTTGAAAAAAAAAACCAAAGCCAAAGGTTTTGTTCTCTATATCCTAGTGGCAGCTAACCTTTGACCTACTCAAGAAATAGTCTCAATCGTCACTTTCAGGCATGGTTCTCTTTCATGAAGGAAACTAGGATCCTCTGTATGTTTCTGTTAACCAACGTAACAATAATAAACAGCTATAGTTTGCACTGAACAGTGATGCCTTCTCACTGGAAAGCAGTAGAGGGAAAAAGCAAGCTACACATGTATAGTCTTGGATCCCTCAATTCGCCTATTTTTGTAACCGTTTTTACAATAACACCTACACAGTGCACTTGAAATCCATTAAAATATTTTTTCACCCATTTTCTTCACTAGAAAAATCAAATTCAGTATTCAAATGACTATGTTTAAACCAGAGAAAGATCAGCTTCAAAAAGATAATAATCCAAACTTCCTTGGAGTTGTTTTTTTCTTTTTTTAAAGCAGGGGCACCCATGGTCAAAAGATGCTCAGAGAGAATTCAAGCACTGTCCTAATGTAACTAATTAACAAGGGTCACTTAGTTATATGTTAATTTTCAGCATTTCCTAAGTCTGAAATAAGAGACAGAAGAATATCCAAGAAGATATTCATGGCACACAGGCTAGTTGATAGCACCTAGTACCCTCCTAGAATACACAATCACCAATTATCAAACAGCTAGGAACAGTCAGCAAGAAAGTGCATAAATTTTGCAGTATTAAATGGAATATCATACAGTGCTATAACAGATGAGTCAAACTAGACACAAAAATCTTCAAGTAAACAACAATCCCTTTGGGAAGCTCAACTGTGCTCAACTTTCCAGGGGCTGTCGCCTAAAATGAGAGTGATCAAAACAATCTCCTGGGTGTTTTTATTTTGTACAAAGAATGTTTCTTCAACAATCACAATATCTAGCTTTGTGTAGGTCAAACAGTAAGCAAAGAGATTTAATAGGTTACCTATTTTTAATACTGAGGAAAATAAGAAACAAAACAAGATGTTTACCAGATTCAAGAGATCCCCCAAGCTATCAGAGACTTGCTCTCAATGCAATCCTCTACTCACTATATGAGCTGCACGGAGATTCAGCAAGCCAAACTGTAACTGAAGAATCAACAAAATTCCTAGGAAATATTCTCATTGCTTGCAATTATATTCCTTCTACAAAGAAAAAATTATCAAAAAAATAAAGACATATTGTATTTATCACTTTCTTAGAGTTATTTCAATCGTGGTCTTTGGGTCCCCTATAGTTAATCTAGAATTTTCCTCTGAAAACAATATCAAGTTTAGACCCTGAAATCCTAGGCAAAGAAAAGCAAAATGTTTGAAAAAGTTTATGTCAGATAATCATGTTACTAAAAATGTGTGAAACTACTGTTTTAAAAAGCGTTCTTAATAAAATTAATTGGAACTTAAACCAATGTTAGCCACAGATTAAAACAAGCACAGCAGAAGGATGCATAAATGTCACTCCAAAATTAACCAGCCAGTTTTTAGTAAGATATCATTACATCACTGCAAAAAATTATGCTTCGCAAACAGAGGACACTGATCTCACCTGATTTCATTTTCATACTGTGGGGACAGTCTACCTGAGTTCTGGTAAAAGCTTTTCAGGAAAGAGGGGGCAGTGAAGGAAGGGGCAGAGAAGGAAGTGTGAAGACTTGGAAGACTGGAGGAAGAATTACTCTCCTTGTGCATGCGTCGAACTGACGGAAGAATGCTGAGTACAGAAAATACAGCAAATGTGTCTTAATTTATAGTTCAGCAAAATCTTCATTCACTATGAAAAAGCACAGAAATAGGTTCAGCTTCCCTTTAAATGATTTTGACTTAAGTTCACTCCTGGAGAAAGCAAATCCTCCTCTATGTTTCTAACTCTGTTGGTCTCTAAAAAATTCTTCAGTTTCAGAACCAAAAAAAAAAAAAGTGTTGATTTTTACATGCAAAAGATATTTGAAGGGGAAAAGGAGTAGAAGTACACAAATAATTCCAGGAAATAAGTCTCCAAAAGGGAAACTGATTGTTAGGCGTTTTTCAAAAGACTTTAACCATTGGAGAGATAGAAGCCCTTCTGAATACTGAAGAGCAACACGTTTGCTTGCTGGAAGCCATCACAGTACCTCTGGCTTGCAACCATGAACATTCCTTGTTCTTTCCTGAAGTGGGCAGGATCCTGCCACTCCAGGTGACTCCAAAGTCCAAATTTTCATACAACTTTTTTTAAAAGAAGACTCTTAACATAGAGAGATCTTACAACGACACAAATGACAGTTCTTTATATTGAAAGTGCTTTAATAGATTATAAAATGTGGAATTGTCAAGGAGAATTGAAATATCCTTTAGAATAAAACAACTGCCATTTTTAGTTCTTGAAAGTAACTTTTCCTGGAAAAAAAAGAGGTCCATTGCCTTAAACAAACATCCATGAAGCAGAAGTGAGCATATAATAAAAATTATACATATGAATATGCCGTCTTCTTCCCACACACACAAATCTGAGGCTAATTAAATCTGTTGATAGATACTTGTATTATAAATGTTATTTTTAAGTTTCAAATCACACAGAAAATAACCATGGACAATAAAACAATATCCTTAGAAGAAATTCTGGCAAATGTGACAAATTTACTATGAAATTAAGCCTCACTTTTCCTTCAAGTTCTCCTTATTTCCAGCATCCCTTTCAAATTCTATTTTTTATGTATCAAATGCATTAATAAAATGAGCTCTGGAATACAAATTCTCACCTGGACTATACATGCTCCAATTCCAATTTCATATGTCAAATAATTGTGATAAATAATTTTAATGAACTACCGTAAGATAATTTCTAATCAACACTGCCTATCAGTTATGGGACTCTAGATTTTTTTTGTTATCAATAGCCCTCGACTCTAGACTATATTCATAACTGTTTTCACATTTAGCTTTAACGTGTCATGTTGTAAAGCATAGTTAAACACTAGCCCATGTTTGTATGCTGGGAATTTAGGTGATCATTAAGCTCTGGTATTTTATTGCAAGTTAACAGGAAATTCTATTGCTGTGTTATTTTCAAATTTGCTCACTTGGCTTTTAGGTCCACTATCAACAAGACACGGAATAAGATGTGTTGTCAGCAGGTTTCAGACCAAAAAATCCTCATAATATTCTGTTTTCCCTCTTTTTCTGAAAACAAAAAGTATGTACATGCAGAACACATGCCTCAACTTTGTCCTATTTCCTTCAGTAACGGGGGTAAAGGAAAAAACCAACTTATTTTAACAGTTTTCCTAGAACTTGGTTTTGGTCACATCTTGACCCCAGAGTGACCCAAACTGGGTGACAGGCGCCTTTGCTCTCCCGTCCTGAACAGAGGGTCCAACTCACCTGCACTGCTCGCTGGAGCCCTGTCTGAGCAGTGGGGAGCGCACGCCAGGCGCCCTCCCGTCCTGCAAGTTGAGTTTTCTCTTTGTACTTGAGGGTGGGTGGCTGAAGGTGTGCGCCCTTCTCCGGAACTGCGGGGAGTCTGAGTCCTCCTCTGGGAACGAGTGCCACGCTGACGACAAGGGGGAGGCTGGCGGAGTCCCTGGAGGAGAGTCCCCTGGCGAGTAGTCCTGAAAAGCAAGCACAAGTGGGGGCTTTCTTTCTCACGAGGGTCAGGGCAGACCTGCGGAAACCCAGGGCTCGCAACCACAGGGCATCTGTCTTCCTCTGGAGTCAGGACAAACCACTTTGTTTCTTGCACTCAACCCTGCAGAGGGTCATGGGTACCCCCATAAACCACTTCTGATAAGCAGCTGTAAGCCGTGGAGAGATAGGGTAGAAAGAGAAAGGGACGAGAAGGAAAGGTGTTCTCCGCCCTGGCAAGCGGTGGTAAAAATGCTGCAGCTTTTGTTCCACTGTTAACAGAAAGATGAAAAGACATCACGACCGAGAAAGGGTGGCGTCAGGGGGACATATCTCCAATTTCCGTGACATATCCTCGCCTGCTTCCTGTCTAAACATCAGCACAACACTTAAGTGGCCAAGCCTTCAGGAAAGGAAAATAGAGCCTGTTAAGTATCCTCTTGGATTGTGGACGCCTTTCTCCAACTACCTATTGCCTGGGGGCAAATGCCTTTTAAAAGACATGAAAAACAGGAAAGGAATGAAAAGTGAGCAGTGTTGGAATGCATTTCATCTTGCATGGGGAGACATCATAAATCTCCCAGTTCAGACAGGTATGCTGTTTATACTCTCCAAATAGGCACCGCTGCAGACATGTTTGGCTTGATAAACATGGGTGACAGACCCATGGCAGGACTAAACCTGCAATGACATCAAAATAAAGTTTAACAACAACAACAAAAAAACTGTTAACATTTCCCATCTTAAAAAAACATGAACAGTGTGGCACGTGCTCAGGTTACATGTTGCAAGAATACAGGAAACAGGAAACCAAACCTCATGAGATAAGGAAGAGCCTAATATTGCAAGTTAAAGTGACTACAAAATGTAGGGGGCAAAAAACAGTTGCATAGGAAAAGAACAGAAACTAGATCACTGTACAAGTACGGAAACTACCTGGTTCATCTTTATATAGCTCTGTGTCAGCAGTTGCCCAAACAATTGTCCTTCATGACATCATCTCCAGTTAGTGAGCAGAGAATATGTTCCTCCCCAATGTGAGAAAATCTAGCAGACTAAAAGAGCCATATACCAATGCCCAGAATTTTCTTACCTTAGAGAATCAATCTTCTATTGCTTATCTTTCAAAAATCCAGAAAGGCCTCAAAATAAAATGATTAGGCACTCCTACCAGTGTTGGTTTTTGCGGAGTCACAGTCAGGAATGAACCAAGGTGCCAGCACATACCTTTTCTGAGGCCAGACTGTTGGTCCTTTCAAAGCCGTCCACACTGCCCAGACGACCTCTCATCCGGTTAGCTCCCTGGATGAAGGGAATGATGAACTCGTTCAGACAGTCCAAACTGTGACTTCACAAAATGAATGAAAAGCAGTTGAAGGTTGCCACTTGGGGGTCAGCATTAAGATGATGCTTTTGTTGTGACTCAAATGCGTTGGTAGTGTTAACATACATAACAGGCACAGTGCATAAACCAGTTCCAATCTATTTCCACTTTATCTAAATCAGATACTCAGACTGAGATCTCTGCAATTATTTTGTTTGCCAGGTTGAATATTATTTACACCCATCAGGTCAGTGAAAAACCTCATAAAGTCTCTATCCTACGATAAACACAATTGTGAAAGGTACAACAAACCAAACCAGGAAAATTATAAAGGTTTAACACACACAACCTCAAGTACCAATGCAATCATTTGTTTCATGGTTATAAATAAACATAGACCTAAAAAAAGTTAAGAATACTGACAACTCAAATTATGGAGTTGGGGGAATGGTATTCATTATTCCATAATATAAAACTTCCTAAATAAATTATTCCAGGGCAAACAATGTGGCATATCAGGTTAACCTACTGCTTGTGACACTTATCTTCCACATTGGAATACCAGTTCAAGTTGCAGCTGGTCCCTATCCCCACCAAGCAGGGGGATAGATAGCAGCCAATGATGGCTCAAGTACTGCCACCCATGTGGGAGACTAGGCACCTGGCTTTGGCCTGGCACAGTCCTGGCTGCTGCGGCCAACCAGGTGCTGAAGCAGTTCATGGAAAACCTCTCTCTGTCCATCTCTCTCTCTCTCTCACTCAGATGTCTGTAGGCATATTGTGTGTAGGGTGTGTGTGTGTGTGTGTGTGTGAGGGGGGAAGTGTTCCTCTTTCAAAAAATAAATCTATAAAAACTCATTTCACATTAGAAGTTTCAATATCAGTCTGCTTCAACACTGATGAGCAGATTACCAGATTATCTGCTCCCATAATCCTTAGGTGAGAATTTTATAGATGATCTGAGAAATATGATTAACACACTATCTCATCCATAGACAGGAAGATACAAAAGCTGACTGGAAATCACATCCCCTGGATTTATAGAGACAAAATGAATCTGAGGCATTCTGTGTGAATCTAAAATACCCTGGGATACAATCAGTTGATGTGACAGTGTCTGCAAAATTTTAAAAATGCACACCATTTGCACTGTACATCATTTTTAATTTTTGTCTCCATATGTTCTTGGGTTTAATTTTTATGGGGGAATAATGTTAAGTTTCTTTTAAACTATTCATCACAGTAATACCTGCATGAGTCAAATTGTGCACTCAGGCTCATAAACAACTCTTCGAATCCTACATCACTAAGGCAAACCAGGAAACTACTTATCTTGATGCTTCTGAGATGCAGTTTATTCTACAATCCCTTAGTCTTTCCATTTCAGGTACTACATATTTCTACTCTGGAATTCGAGACATTATTAGTCTTACTTCATTTTCCCCACTCCCGACACGCTTCCCAACACTTTTCTTCTATGTCACAAATTTCAGTTAAATCAGTGTTCTCTGCTTGGATTATTATGACTTTGTAAACACTGTAGGTAAGCCTGTTCTTACTATGACTGAATATGGTTATATCATGGATTTTCTGCATTTTGTTTTGCATGGAGTTAATGGCTACTTCTGCAACCACTTATTATAAAAGTCTCCAGTGGATCACAACATGATCAAACATCATGGAATCCATGAGTTTGTTTTTACTTTTTCTTTCAGCTATTCGTAATGGAGACCTCTGTCATTTTGCTCCAATATGACTTGCTACAATTTTGGATTGCTTTATACACCCTCCTAACATGGCAGCTTTTTAAAAAGAAAAAGTTCATAGAAAAATGGAATTTCAAATTTAACTTTTAATTTGGGTAGAATTTTTTTTTAATCTTTGCAAATGAGGTGCATTTAAAATGTTCAAGGGTTATCACACTATTAGAAATGTCATATGAATTTCAAAAAAGTTTTGGGACAAAAGGAACATGTAGTCCATTTTTCTGTGACCTTTTAGAAATTCTCTCATGTTTTCCTTCATCATCAACTTAGAAGTTTCCTGTGACTCTCTTTTCTGCTGGAATGTCTGTTTCCTTGATTCTTTGTCTTCCTCTTTTTAAACACACTTCCTTATTTTTGTGGAGCACATGGTCCAGGTGCTTTCTGAGAAAGAGAGAGTGGGAAGTAATTTTTTTTAAAAAAATTACATGTCTGTAAATGACATGATTCTATGGTTATATTTTATTAGTAATTTAATTGAATGTGAAATTCTGGTTGGGAACTTTCCATCACTCAACTGTCCTCTGGTTCAGAAGTCTGATACCATTGTGATTCTACAACCTATGTGTATGACCTGCTGTTTCCGCATGGAACAGAATCTATGCTTACGCTTGCAGATTCTGAAATTTCACAACAGTACATCTTGGCATAGTTTTTATTTAGCTTTTTCTTAGTATATTGAATCTGGAATCTGTGCATTTTCTCAGTATATTAAATCTAGAATCTCACGCTCATTAGATTTCAGAGTGTTTAAATGTTTCTTTGAAATTTTCCAGCATACTTTATTTTTCTGGAATTCCAACATTTGGCTTTTTCTTTAAAAAATTACATATTTATTTATCTGAAAGGCAGAATTGGGGAGGGAGAGAGAGAGAGATTGAATATGCACAAGACTCACAACACCCTAGTTGTTGTAGGCATTTGGAGACTGACTCAAATGGGAGAGGGAGATGGAGGGAGAGAAAGAGAGAGACACAGAGAGAGATTCCACTCACTAGGTTCACTCATAAAATGGCCACAACAGACAGGAACCTGGAACTTTATTGTTCCTCCTGAAGTAGGCAGCAGGGGTCAGAGCACTTGGATCATTTTCTGCTGCTTTGCCAGGCACATAATCAGGAAACTGGATCAGAACTGGAGCAGCTGGCATTGCAGGAGGTAGCTTAATCTACTGTGGCACATGACTTGCTCCCACCATTACTAGGCTTTTAAATCTCCAAACTGATTCGTTATTTTGTTTTGTTTTCCAATTTTACATATCTTGGTTATTTTTCTTTATTGTCTAGAGGATTTTTTTTTTTGCATTCTACTCTTCATGACTTTTTCATTTTATTTCTAGGATCACCAAGTTTTAAAAATTCTTTCATGTTCCCTGTTACATGTTTTCAGATTTACACCATGCTAGCTTGTTTCACAGAAGCAACACTTACGGCTTATCTGTATGCATGAAACATCCTTTTGTATCTGCTAGGAAGGGCAATTGGTACAGCAGTTAAGATGCTGCTTGGGATGGCTTTATCCCATCTCAGAGTGCCAGAGTTTCATTCCTGGCTCTGCCTCCCATTGCAGCTTCCTGTGAGCTAGCAGGTGGAGGCTCAAGCACTTGGGTCTCTGTCATTCATGTGAGAGATTCAGATTCAATTCCAGGCTGCCAGACTTAGCTCTGATGGCTGCAGGCATTTGCAAAATGAAGCAAATAATAGCTCGCTCGCTCTCTCTGTCCTTCCTCCCCGCCTTTCCCATAAGTCAATCAATTTTTAAATGCATATCTACATCTACTATTACTGCAAGTTTCTCCTGTGCCAAATACTCAGTGAAGCATTTTATGCCACATTATCTATTTAATCCTTGAAACAACCCAGGGAGGAAGCCACACTTTGTTAGCCCAAGTTTCCCAGAGAAGAAGGAAGTTCAGGTAGATGAAGCCACCCATTTCATGTAACAAGTTAAAGGACAGAGAAACAACTGGAAAACAGAAGGTAAGTTACAATTTAAAAGTGAAGGTCCTGAGTTCTTTAATACTACCTCTCAAAGACAGACCTTTGGAGAAAAACAGAGCTAAAATAATAGTAAGCCTACATTTGTCATTTGGTAAATGTCCCAGAACCTCAGCAAGGCTTTCAGATCTTCAAATCTGTTATATAACTGACTTTTCTCCATTAATAACCTATATTTTTAGCTGGTGAATTATTGGATTATTACCGTGTGTTAAGAGGAAACCATAGGTTGATTCCTACCATGTCAATACATATATGCCAGCTAGCCTGGTTATCTCAAGTGGATTATTTGATCAAAATAAAGAAAGCAGATAGCAATCTCAGGTACACATTTTGTTCACATTGGTATTATTCATAGTAATGTTTTATCCATATGTAGTTTTGGAAGTATGCCCCAACAGAAACCAACTCACTCAATCTAACACTCTACCACTATCTATTAATCTATGCCTTTCGGCAGGCAGAAACAATGGGCATTACTATAAAGCAAACATAAATGAAGCCTATTTTCAAAATAATTTGCACTTTGTATATATTTCTATTTTTACAAAATTTCAACTTAATACAACAGACAAATGATGATGAGCTTCTAAACATTTAAAATCATGGATCTCATTTCATAAACATCTATTCTTGGTGAAATAAAATATTTGACATTTAAAATTGCAGAGCTAAGCTAGAGTGTTAGATTTTCCACTATACAATTCATTAGGGGGAAAAAAACCCTTAATTTTAAAACTAGAAACAACATAGATAAACTCTAAAGACACAGTATCAGGAATAACAAGCCAGGCCAGTCACAAAGTTCAGACAATGTCTAATTTCACTTATAATGAAGTACAAGGAGTGGTCAAATCCATCGAGACAGAAAGTGTTGGCTGTCAGGGGCTGTAAGGAGAACCTGGAATTACTTTTCAACTTCAGTTAAGGAAGATGGAAAAAATTCTGTAGATGGATAGAGGTGATGCTTGCAAAAACACTGCTAGTATTTTAATGTCAATGAACTGTACTATTAAAAATAATTTAAAAGGAAATATTTATACTCTATATCTTACCACAATAAAAATGGAAATAGAAAAAACTGTATAGGAAGATTTAATTTATCAATTATCATTAACTACCAAATTCACTTCAGATGCACTATCTAAAAATAAATTTAAATAAAGAGAAATGGGGCAGATATGGCACAATGAGGAAAGCTGGCACATGTGATTCCCA